TTCGAATACAGGCCTTTTTCATTTATTCGACTATTCGAATAATCGAATAACTGGACTTTCTCGAATATTCGACTATTCAAATATTCGAATAGTCGAATATTTCGAATAAATTATTCGAACACGAATATTCGGTTCTAACTATACTCCATTGATACCGACATTAGAATTTATTTGCAACAATAAATTTATGATCATCGCAAATATCTTATTGACATTATCCAAATTGTAAGTTTTAAGCAAAACTTCCTTCAGCACTTTCCAAGCTAAGTATCTGCCAGTGTCCATTGTCTCTGTAATTCTCGGTCGAAATTATCTTTACATACACGTTCGACCCACTTAAACAGGTATTTTTCACCTAAAAATATAGTAATATTTATACGAATCGAAAACAAAGAATGAGTTGTCCAAAAAACTCGGTTCAACTTCTTTAAAGCGTCGAATGATTCTGGGATCAGAGCAGTAGCGTGTTATTAGAATGAAAGGCGATCACTTATTTTGGCGACGTTTAGATTGCTGCCTGTCACCGAAGATTAAGACAAAAATTTCTAGAATGTAAAAGCAAGCTTTTTTATCACTTCCCAGAACCCTAGCAGTCCTTTGGCAAGCTCAAACAATTTATCCTAGAGAGTTTTTAATGTGCCATCACAGGATAATCAATATGTAAAATAACTAGCCGTTCAAGTTCATTCAAAAGAGAAAAGTCGAGATCTTGAAAAAGGGTAGAAACTTTCGTTTTCATCCAACACAAGCCTGTGCAGTGAGCCATAATACGCCCCCCTCTCCCTCCCCACTCCTAGACTCCTTCTCCCTCTTCTTTTTTCCTATTTTAAAGGGACGCTAGAGGGTAATAAGGTAAATTTCTTAACTCAGAGCAGAACAGACATCTCTGGAATTGTAGAATTTCAAAGCTGTCTGACAATGGTCTCTTTTCCATCAAAACGCGGTACAGCTGGAGAGTATCGCTGGATACCATTTCGGGGAGAATGGCAAAAGAAATATCGTTTTCGCGGGACGGTGCGGAGAAGAGCCGCAAGCATGCTGCCCGCATGCCGCTGGCATGCAGGCGGCATCTCTCCCCAGGCAAACAAAAGCGTTGCTCACATCAAATCGCAGTATGGCAATTTGGCGTGCGCAGCACGTGTAACGATTTGAACCATGGTCCAAAATTCGTGACCTATGTGACTGAAAACAGGGCCCGGCACGCGTTGGTTTGGAGCATTTTTGGAAACGAAGTCCCCTATGGATTCTCGAAAATTTACGAAGTCCATTCTGACGTAAAAGTCAGCAGGGAAACCCTTGTTCAATCAACATAATAAAACATAACGATAAAAAAGCGAAAAAAGCGAGTTTTAAGGTACCTAATATAACAAAAAGCAAAAAACATTCTGATTCAGTTTTTGATCATGGTGCCATTTTAGTGTTCAGAACGTTGAAAACCTTTTAGGCCAACCAAATCTGTGACCTCAACAATCTGGCGATGCATTTTTCGCCACAGAGGACCGGCCCACCGCCTCTCACATTCGGCTCAGTAAGCGCCGCCGGCCGCGTCGCAGTGAGCGTTCATCACTGAAGCGCGCTTTTGCTCTGACGTTGCAACTCTGCAAAAACATTTAGCATCACCAGCTAATACTCATTAACACTGTCCGTCACTTTGCAGTTACCTAGCACGGCATATCTGCTTGAAAAGGACAAGGACTTTTTGCAACC